TCTTCTGAAGCCTGCTGGCCTTGGTGTGGAACGCTCCCCTTCCTACAAGAACATGGTGGTTCGGTCCCCGGCAGTCTGGACAATGCCACTTTGCCTGCTGACAACCTGTGTTCAGGGGTAGAAGCCCCTTAACACTCCAATGGAGCTGCAGAAGATGGCTCTAGGTGAACAGCTGGCCAGGCCAGCTGTGGGCTGCAGCACTAGGCAGAAGGGCCAATTGCTCTGTGAAGTTACTGGCAGTTTGTCAGGGAAGTAGGCAGCCAGACACTTTTAGCAGTACACAAGAGAGGCCTTCCTTCCAGAAAAGAGGCAGGATCCCATATGCCACGTGGGGGAAAGAGGACAGCAAAGAAAAACTCTCTCTCAAAAATAGAGATGTTGGACTCAAAAGGACCTCGATAGGTCATCTACTCCAGTCCCCTGCATTGAAGCAGGACTAAGCATCATCTGGACCATCCCTGATAGGTGTGACCCATATCTGTTCTTAAAAGCCTCCAATGATGGAGATTCCACAATGTCGCTAGGTAATTTGTTCGAGTGCTTAACTACCCTGAAAATTAGGAAGTTTTTCTTAATGTCTATAAAGTAAATCTCCCCTATTGCAATTGATAGCCATTGAAAGGCCTGAAGAAGCTGGAGGTAGCCGAGCTGAGGATATGTGCCTCAAACAGCCTCTTAAAACACCGGGGGTGTGTGTGAAGATACTTGTTTTTCACTGACACAAAAGCCAAGCTGTTTGAGCACAGACAGAAGCAGCCATGCATGTACCAGGAAGGCCATGCAAATGTCCCGTAACTACATGGACCCATCTTCGACCAGCCCACTAAATCCAGACCAAATTATGCACCAAAGACATTCTACTCTGAAGCAAGAAAGAGCAAGCACCATCCTTTGTCAAGTCGCAATGGGTGACAGTGGAAAAATCAAGGAAAGTTACATGAAATTTTCTGAATACATGCTATTCCTCCCACCACCACTCCCACTCCCCAAATGCTACTCACTTACCAACCCCGCTCCACAAAAATATTTCCTTAACGAGCTCCAAGTTCTAATGAGAACTCACTGACGTCATACCTGACCTGGTGCAGAACAAGACCACCCTTTTGGAAAACTTAAACTTGAAAATCCCCAAAGCAGCTGCTAGGAGGTGGCATTGAGAAGATGCTTCTGCCTTTTGAAGGATTTTGCTGTTATTTTAAAAACCTCACTCATAAACCCTCCCCTACCTACTACCTTACCCGAGAAAGAAGGCTACACCAGCATAATCCCACCCCAGAATTAGAATGTCAGGTAGCTCAAGCCAAGGACTCTGGCTGGGCTAAAAACAGTTTTACAAAACCCCAGAGGAAACATTTCTGCTATATTTTAGTGGAAAGTATGTTTGGATTTGACCATCATAGATTAAGGCCTGAAGGGACCATTCTGACCACCGAGTCCGACTCCTGCCTAACACAGGCCAGAGAACTTCACCAAGTCATCCCTGCATCCAGCCCAGAGGTTCTGTTTGAGATCTTTTAGAAAGACATCCAGTCTTGATTTAAAGACTTAAAATGCAAGGTCCAATAATTTGCTCTTCTACCTCCAAGGCTTCTCTAGCATTTGAACTCAGAATCTCTGGTACTGTCCGTAACAGCATAACTGTAGGCCAGCCATTCCTCTCAGGTGGGCCTGCTCCTGTCCCATATAAGCCAATATTTTGGTCTTGATTTCAGTGATCAGGCCAGCATCTGAAGCACCAACACAGACTAGTCCACGGGTTCTCGCAATAAATTTTTTGGTGACCCCAGAACGTGGTCACCAACTCTCACTGGTGGACGCACTGACACTTTTTTCCTAAAATACTTTAGGAAAAGCAATTAAATATGCACAGATATACATTACAGTGATTTGGATGTGTATTTGTAGGGTTTTTTGGCAGACTCAACAACAAAAAAAATGCTGCCTCCCCCTTTGGCTCCTGCATCCAAGGCTTAGTGGGTCCTGGGGCTTGCTGTGAAAAGTGATATTTGTATATTTGTTACTATCACAGCACACTTAGCATCACTTTTCATAGCCTCCCAGGTAGCTAAGTGGTATTAACAAACATACAAGTATTATTTTTCACAGATACCTAGTAAGTATGCTGTGAAAAGTGATATTTGCATGTTTGTTAATATCACTTTTCTCAGCAAGCCCCAGAACCCATTAAACCCTGGATGGGGGTGGGGCAAAGGGGGAGGCAGCAGGGACCATAGTCGATGGTGGGATGGATGTGGGGCCGGGGGAGGCAGTGGGGGCCCAAGGCAATGGGGGGGGGGGCGGAATGGATGCGAGGCCAGTAAGGCAGCAGGGTCCTCGGGGGGGAAGGATACAGGGCTGTGGGAGGCAGCAGGCGCCATGCGCGATGGGAGTGGGTGATGAGCCCCACTGTTGTGTGGCCACAGCCAGGACCTGGTGTCTTCTGCCATGCAGCCCCTGGCCAGAACCCAGAGCTGGAGACAGAAACTGCATGGCTGGAGCCAGGGATTGGAGCCTGCTGCCCCGCAGCCAGAGGTGTAGGTCAGTGCCCAGAATTAGTGCCTGCTGCTGCATGGCCAGAACCCGGAGCTGGAGCCCAAGAGTGCATGGCTGGAGTCAGGAGTCAGTGCCCACCGCTGCGTGGCAGGAGCCAGCGCCCGCTACTGTGTGGCCAGGGGTCTGCAGCTGGGGCCAGCTCCCACCACTGTGTAGCTGGAGCCTGGAAATAGAGCTGTGGGTCAGCACCTGCTGCCATGCAGCTGGGGCAGGGGGATCAGCACCAGAGGCTAGGGCTGCATGGCTGGAGCCCAGGCCAGCGCCCACCACTACATGGCCAGAACAGGGGGCGAGAGGCCGACAGAAGCTCCGCGCCTGCTGTCACACAGCTGGAACCAGGGGCCGGAGGCTGAACCCCGCAGCTGGAGGCCAGGGCTGAATGGCCAGAGCTGGGGCAGGGGTCAGTACCCGCTGCCCTGCGGTTGGAGCCCGGGGCCGAATAGCCCGGCTCCTGAAGTTCCACCACAGGAGCCTGCTGCCCAAACCCCTTCCCCCGCCCACCCCCCCCCCCAAGGTGGGTGAAGAACGCACCTCACTTCTGCAGCGTTGTGCCCCACCTCTCTCCAGAGACGGTGCAGGGCAGCACATCCAGGAGCAACAAAGAGGGAGTGGAAGGGGCCAATGCTTTGCCCCCGCCATTACTGCCCAGGAGGCTGTTGTGGCCGCACGAAAAGCCCCTGGTGGCCACTTTTGAGAAACGTTGGGCTAGTCTATTTTCATTGTCCAAAAGCAAACAGAATGAATAATGGTAATAAAGGAGATTGATGTGCCCTGTATCTTACTAACCATGGGATTGCTGGGCACAAGGGGAGCAAATACAACCTTGAACTGTGGTTTTTAACCCTATGGTTCCACATGGAGGTGCTGATTCCACCAGTAAGAGAAGCATGGCAATCACGGAGCTCATTTCCACGTGTTGAGGCAGTTACATTTCACATACGCACGCATTCAATGTGAGGAAAACTGACAACTCACAGGGAAAGATGAGATTTTCTGGTAATAACTCAATTAGTAAGACTGGGGATCAAGAGAGACAATCCCCTCACCCCAAGCAAATCACTTCCATCTTTCTCCTCTTGTCCTCAGAGGTTAGATTTGGTCCCACTTCCCTTACTGCCCAAACTCCTTCAACCCCACTGCACACACATTCCCACAACTAAAAAAGCTTTGTTGTAGCGATGATGGAGCCAAGTTTCTCCAGTCAATGGCCTCAGAAGTCAAGAGCTGAGTGAGGTAAAGTTCAGAGCCTACTAGGGAAAGCAAGGACTGACTGACTGACTGACAGACACACACACACCCCCCCTACCCTTTCAGGAGAGAAGGATCCTGCTCAGCATGTTTGGTTCTTCCTGTTTCCCTGGAACAGCTACAGGGATGGCAGGGAAGGTAGGTTCAACTACTCACTTCCTTCAGGTTCCAGTGCCAGCGACCAAGCTGAGGCAGGGAAGACCCATATGACCCTGTACTATGCTGACTTCAGTTTGGGCTGCTTTAAGGGTTTATGATGGTGCACACAAGAAACTCCCCATTCAAAACCCACAAAGCCACACGCATTGTCCTCCTTAAGACTATCCTCTGCTGTGATGCCTACAAGACATAAGAATGGTTAAGAGGCTTCCGTGCTGGGGCAGCTGCTTATTTCACTGTTACATCGCGGTACTGTATCCTCCTGCTGTGTCTTGTTTTAGACCGTAAGCTCTTTGGGACAAGGACTATCTTGCTATGGATTTGCACAGAGCCTAGCACAATGGGGCTGAAGCCTCCAGGCATGCTACTGCAATGCTCTGTAACTGAGCAGGCAACTTAAAGCCCCACAGAGGGTAATGCCACTTTATAAGATACATCAACTCCTTAGACAACACTGAGTTGCCACCTGGCCCAACATTTCCATCTTCTTTCAATAATGGGAAAAAGACTGGACAGGAGCGAAACAGAGGGAGAGCGAGGAGTGAGACCCTCCCAGAACAGGGATGGAACAAGAGATAGGGTGTCTCCCATCCGCTCCCCACACCCCATAGGAGTCTCCTATCCTCCTCCACCTGTGGATTTCTCATCCCCTCCCCTGCCAACCACACAGGGGGCTGGTCCTGCAGTGAAATCTAGAACTAGCGGCCTAAACATTCTACCCTGAGTTGCTTACATATTGTAGAAGAAACAAATGCAAAGTCCTCTGAGAAATAATGGAGTTAACTTGGTTGAACAGTGCACAGACTCAAACACGTCCTTCGCAGACTCTCTAACACAGAATCTGGTTTGCACAGTTACCTTGTAACACTTAACGTCAGAAGTGAGAGCTCACATCTCGAGCAGACCCTCCCCATACCTTGGTTTCATACTCAGAGATACAGCCTCGCCATCCTGCATTCCCACCTGACCTGCTCTTCTGGACAGAACCTGGCGCTACCTAGTCTTAGCGAAGGCTGCACTTTCCCTGGTTCATGTTTCACCTTGGAACTCTGTGTTGTCTAGGCCCCTGATGGCCTCCACCGCATCCTCAGCCCGCTCCATGTGCACAAAGGCATAGTCCTTCACTATGTCGCACTCGATTACCGGGCCATACTCTTCAAACTTGGCCCGCAGCTCCAGGTTCGTGCAGGTGGTGCTGATGTTGCCCACATGCAGCTTGGTGGACGCCTTGCTCTTGTTCTTGCTGGCTTCCACGTTGATGCAGACACCATGCAGCTTGTGGTGATGCAGGTTACGGATGGCATCTTCGGCCGCTGTCTTGTCTTCGATGTGCACAAAACCATAGTTTTTGATAATGTCACATTCCAGCACCTTCCCATACTGCTCAAAGAGCGACCGGATCTCTTGCTCCGTTGCCTCCCGGGGCAGATTCCCAATGAAGAGTTTCACCATCTCAGCAGAGCCTGTGGGTGGAATAGTTGAAGATGAGGCACTAGCACAAGGAACAGTTTGACTTAGTTGCCAGTGTCCCTGGCCAAAAGACATCAGCTGGGGGTAAGGCAACACAGTGTGGAAAGACTTGTTTTTAAAGGCAACATTATATTTGTGTAACAGAAACCTCCTGCTTTCAAATATCAGCTCTCGAGTTATATTGTAAGACTTAAGAGGCCCACTTTTCATTCAGCTAGTTGCTCTTTAATTGTAACTCAAGATAAAGTAATCTGCAATCATCGAGTAGTTATTCCCAGCACTCCTGTGTTCTTTCCAGCCCTGCTCTGGGAGGGGGTCAGGTCTAGTAGGTCGAGGGTCCAGTCAAAACGGGGAGGGGGCTGGGCGCCAGGCCTCCTGAATTCTAGCCCAGCTATGGGAGGGTTGGGGTATAGTGGTTAAAATAGATGAAAGGGGCCTGGGAGCCAGGACTCCGAGGTTCTTTCCCAGCGCTAGGGAGAGGTGGAATCTAGTGGGTCGGGGGGGGAGGGCTGGGCGCCAGGACTCCTGGGTTCTATCCTTGCCCAGTCCCATTTGCGAGGGGGAAAGCGGGGGACTGAGGCCCGGCTCTCTCACCACCAACAGCACCTCTTCCTCAGGCCGCGGTCTTGTCTCGATGACGATAACAAAATGGCGGAGCCTCCTACCCGCTCCGCCCGGCCATTGACCTCGTCTAGCCCCGCCCCATTCTTCCAACGCCACGCTCCTATTGGCTGCTGATCGCCATCAACGAGCCGTTATTGGACAAGTAGGCGTTTACGTCACAACAATGAGTTGTGTGGACGACCGGCCTTCTGTACCGCGGGCTTCCCAGCCAATGGCATTCCGTTAGGGGCGGGTTCCGGTCACATGAGGGGTCTGCAGCCAATTAGGGCTAGCGGGGAAAGGGCGGAGTCTCTTCGCGCCGTGCTCGCTCCGGCGTCTGGGCCGCTGGAGCTGCCCCGAGACTGTGGGAAGAATTTGGTTGCCGACGGGGGACAGCGGCTTCGTGCTGCCCGCGCGCGGGTCCCTCTCCCTGCTCGGCCCCTGCCCCCTTCCCGGGTGTCTCCTGCTCCCCTTTTCTGGGGGTGTGGGAGGCGCCTGCTGGCGGCATCAGTACCCCATAGGCGGTGGGTAGATGGGGCTCTCCCGACACGCCTCGCTCGCACCTCCCACCCCTGCTGGGGGTAGGGCTCTTGCCTGAGGGGCTCCCTGCCTCCCGGGCTGCGCTGCCAACCCTTCTCCCGCCCTGCGGGCATGGGGGTGGGTCTCCTCGTCTCTCTCCCTTAACTACGGTAGGGGTTGGGGGCCCCGGGGCCCGGTAGGCGTGGGGTGGCTCCTGTCTGCTCTGCCCCGGGGCCGCGCTAGGTGTGGGAAAGATGTCCGAGGCAGTGCTGCTGTTGCGGCGGGTGCGGGAGCGCAGCAGTGAGGGGGCCACGGGGGCCCGGAGGAAGCGGAGCAGGCGGCGCCGTTTCTACCCCGAGCACCGGGTGTATCGGGCCCGCAGCTCCTTCCTGGACCTCAGCGAGGAACAGGTGCTGCGGCGCTATCGTCTGGACAAGGCAGCTATTGCGGGGCTCTGCAGCGAGCTGGGCTCTGACTTGGAGAGCCTGACAGGTCGCAGTCACGCCCTGCCGGTGGCCGTCAAGGTGACCTCGGCCCTCACCTTCCTGGCTTCGGGCTCCTTCCAGACAGCCACACGGGACACTACAGGCATCAGCCAGTCAGCCATGTCCAACTGCCTGGCCCAATTCCTGGAGGCACTGCAGCGCCGGGCTGCCCGCTACATTACCTTCCCGGTCCCAGGCCCCACGGCAGGGCATGCTGAGGGCCGCTTCCCTGGGGTGCTGGGCCTGCTAGGCAGCATGCATGTGGCACTGCGGGCCCCCTCGGAAAACGAGCTTGCCTACCGCAATGTCCGCAACTACCACTCCATGAACATGCAGGTGGTGTGTGATTCCCACGGCACCATCATCAATGTAGTGGCCAAGTACCCTGGCTCTTGCCCCAACGCCGCCGTGCTGGAGAACTCTGCCCTGGCTCGGCTGCTTGATGGAGCCCGGCTTGACGGGCTGTGGCTGCTGGGTGAGTCAGGACAGACAATGATGCTCTGGGGGGTGGGCAACCAGAGAGGCCTCTCCATGATGGAGCAGCCCCCTGACCTAGTTCACCAAACGTAGTGATCCCTCACGCCCGGCACCTGGTGGGATGATCTGTATCTTCGCATGACTGACAATAGGTAAGAAGGATGGCCCAGGGAATAGGGTGCTGAGTTCAGTTCACCACTCTGCCACTTACCTGCTGTGTGACCTTCAGCAAGTCACTTAATCCCACCCTGTGCCTGTAAAAGGAACTTCTCTGCCTCATGGGGGTATGAGGGTAAAATGGTGAGTTGCGTGGACACTCCACTGGCAAGGCTCATCTGGAAAAATAAGAACTGTAACTATTCCCAGTGTGAATAAGGAGCAGACTTAGACCCTGGTAAGTACTTAGCACGCAGGTATCTTTCAGTCTATGAACAGTCCATTGACTGCAGTGGGACTAGTTATGTGTTTAGATCTTCATCTTCGCATACCCTTAAACTATGTATAGTCTTTAACAGCGCATTATGGGGCAGGGGGGCAGGGAGTGCTTTTGTTTAATTTCCCCCAAAGAAGGGTGGGAGCCCAGCTTCCAAAGGCCTGAGGGAGTCTGCTAACATATTTCTTCTATCCTTCTTCTGTGTCTGCAGGAGACCGAAGTTACCCGCTGAAAACATGGCTCATGACTCCAATTTTATTCCCATGTAGTCCGGGAGAGGAGAAGTACAATGCCATGCACCAGGAGGCCCTTTCAGTGCTCAAGCAGACATGCACCCTCTTGAAAATGCGTTTCCGCTGCCTGGATAAATCAAGTGGCTCCTTGCAGTACACCCCCCAGAAAGTCTGCCAGATCTTCCTGGCCTGCTGTATACTGCACAACATCGCCCTGAGCCGCAGGATGCCCTTAGACCTGGCAGAGGGGGAGGAGCTGGTGGAGGGGTCGGATGCTGACCCAGAGCTCCCAGTGCAAACCCCCTTTGTTCAGATCTCCAGTGAGGCCCGGGCAGTGAGAGCGCGGATTGTGCAGCGATTCAGAGAGAGCCTGACCTAGAGCAGCATCCTTGTGTTGCACCAGCTGCTTCTGAAACAGCTCTTGGTGGGGAAAAGGACCTTGCATGCTAAGTTTTTCCCCTCAGCATCTGATACAAGCCCCGCACTTCACCCTCTCTATAAGCAGCTGCAACATATCTTATCCTGGAGCTAGTGGCATTCCCAACACTGACCTGTCCTAGGAAGAGCTGCCAGCGATTCCAGCTTCTGACACTGGATTTCACTGTGGGGATTGCATTTTGTTTAAAAACCTCTGTCTAATTTTTTCCATAGGGTAGTGACTGTGAGGATGGTTCTATGGGCCTGGAAGAAGCTACCACCTTCGTGCCCCAGAGCTGTTACTGGGTTGTGGACTGGCTGTTCCTGAAGCCAAACTGTACATCACTCTCACATGTTGTTGCTCTTTTAGTCTAGCTGTGGGTGAGATAAAATACTTAGCTGCTCACAGATTGCTGCTTGGCTGAAACTGGCAGCGCGGAGTGAACTGAACCGCTCCAACGAAAGGAGGGTAATGAATGGAAGTGGCCTTTATTGAGAGGCAGTGTTTCCTCCTATCCTGAGCAAAGCTGGGGATTGGAACTCCCCAGATTTCATCCCTGTTCTATCCCTGAGGTGCTCGGCAGTCTTGGCCAAGTTGCCTCTGTAGATTGGGGTTCTAGTAGTAGTGACTTCTCCAGACAGGGATGTAGTGAGGACAGGTTAGTCCATGTTCTGAAAATGTCCAAGTTCCAGCTTGGAAAAGTGCATGCCTGCAGCCTACTACACTCTAAGTTAAGGACCCCCTTCTCGATGTCACAGACCATCCTGCTCCTGCCTTGTCATGTTTGTGGGCCCTGGCTAATGCCTTCATTTCCAGGGTAGGGTGCTGTATGCTGGCATGAGGAAGGGGTTCTGGCTCTTAGATGGCAGAGGCCTAACTACACCCCCTCTGCTCTGTTGGATGCTCCCTGCGCTCTGGTCCATGAAGCTGGGAATCTAAGGGGGAGTGGTGAGCAGTGGGTTGGGGAGAATGGTCTCTGAGTGGAGGCATGGTGGCTCCCTGCAAGGGAGAGGCAAAGGCATAACAACATTGGTCTTCAGCATTCTAAAGGTTAACTGTTCCTCACCCGCTTTCCAGTGCTAAAGTACTGATTGCCAAGAGATTGGTGTGCCCATAGGATTGTCCTGTCACTGCCCATGCCACTGTAGGCCAGCTTGTGGATCAAGGGGGTGCAGGCAATGGGAGACAGCTAGAGCTGGGAGCGATTAGAGTGACATTGGAGAGCGCAGAAGGCAGTGGAGGACATGTTCATGTTTCTGTGCCCAACTTAAGCTCTTCTGCTTTATTTCACCCCCAGGGGAGCAGAAACTAGATGTACTGATGGGCCCAAATCAGATTATGGAAGCCAGAGTTCTCTCACTCTCAAAACTGGCTACTTTGTTCTCCAGTTTAGCATGCAAAGCACCTGCTCTCTGTGATCCAGTCCCTGTTGCAGGTGATGCTCCCTGTCGCATGGGGAAGGAAACTATTTTTTTGTGAGGGGGAAAATAAAAGTATTTTCTTAGAGATGTTTGTTTGGATTGTTCTTGTTTAAAGGAGTGTCTGGAGGAGAGAGGGGCGAGGCCAGATCCTGCATTCTGTGCCTGGCTCTGACAGTGAGTCACTGCACCTGCTTGCTCAATCTCTGCTTGCCAATTGGTAAAACTGACTATCCTCAGAAGCTGGATGCTCCATCCATGTTGCTATATAAATGCAGACTAACTTTCTTGGTGGAGTTTGCACCCAGGCACACCCCATGTGTCCATCTACACCACTCTATCCTTCCCTTGTGTATATATATTTCCCCTGCCTGTCTCCGTGTAGTTACTCTGGAGGAACATAAGAACAGCTACAATATATCAGATGAGTGAATCCCTCTAGCCCAGTATCCTGCGTCTGATAGTGATTAGTACACAAAAGGAGGGCCAAGAAATCCTGCAGTGATGACATAACTTGTCCTGAGCCATTCTCGCCTGACCTCAGGAGTTAGTGGTTGATAAATGCCCCAATGCAGGATGGTTTGGATCCCTTCTGGAACTCTTGGAGATTCCCTTTGGCCATATACTGTCCAACCCCTTTATGAATGCTGCTAAGCTGTTTGTCTTGATGTATTGTGGCATTGAGTTCCACAGGCTAGGGTATAGGAATGGCCATTGGCTGGACTGTATGGTGGCCCATGTGTGCACCTGCAGCTGAGCTGAGCACTCAAGCAGTTGGATAGCCTGGCCAGCAGCTGGAGCTTGCAGCCTGGTCTGTAAATGTGAGGTGCTCCTATGGCCAGCTGTGAGAAATAGACAGTTATTAAGTGCTACCCACAGGTTTCTCTGGCTGTGGAGAGGAGACAGCTTTCCCTGCACTGTGGGATATAGAAGTGGTGTCTCCCTTACTAATGCCATATGAGAAGGGACCCAGGTGCCTCTGACGTGAGGGAACACTGCAGCCTATCCCTGTCCTCGTGCAGCCAGGGTCCCATCCAGCTCATTTAGCCAGTAGGAATCTTCTCTAGCAAAGTCAGCTGTGGATGCTGTGTGCTGATTCTCTGCGACAGTGGATGTCTCACTGGGGCAAGGCTGCATGGCCTAGTGGATACAGCAGTGGACTGGGACTTGGGAGAGCTGGTTCTAGTCCCAGTTCAGTCACTGGCCTGCTGGGTGACATTGGGCAAATCACTTCCTCTCTCTGTGCCTGTTTTCCCTTCTGTAAAATGGGGATAATACTGATCTTTGCAAAGTGCACTGAGATCTACAGATGAATAGTACTGTGTAAGAGCTAGGGATTGCTGTCATTAAAGCTGAAGGATGGTCTCTGTTTTAAGTTGGACAAATTCATTTTTGGGGGTGTAATTTTTCAGGCTCAATCTATCCCTGCAGCTGACTTTAATAGTTTGCAGCTGATGTGGTTGTGCCATTTTGAATAGGGTATGGAGGGGTTAATAGATATTTCCCATAATAAAATATTCTTGCTCCCTATGTTGGAAAGGTCCCCTTCAGCTGACACTGGGAAGATGACATTGGGTCTGGGAAGAACCCTCACTGCAGAGCATGTTCTTGGGGCAGAGGACATTGGGTTGGAGTGACTTCCAAGTATTCAAGCAGTCTGGTTTTGGCTGCCTGTGAGGGTTGATCCACACAGGGACACTCTGGACAGCTGAATTAACTAAAGGAGTAAAGTTAAGGGCATTAAGCACTGTAGATGCTCATATTCAGAAGTGAAGTGGCCTTAGTTTGCTGTAGCTCAATCTTCCTTCAAAGCCCTGCTAAGCTGTGGTATCTGGACTGACTTCCAACTCTTCTTTCTCCAAGGAATTGCAAGTTCCAATCCCCCCCAGCACTGAGGAGATGTGGGTACCATTTTTATAGCTGTGTTAGGGGTCCCAGGCCCATTGGGTTAATTGATATGCCCAGTTGAATCATACAGTCCAACTCCTTGTATAACGTAGGCTGAAGAATCCCAGCCACCTCATCACTTGTTCCTGCCATTACGCTGATCAAACTCCTGCCCACTCTGGGCCTTTTAGAGAACGCTGGCCCTTCAGAGAACATCAACCCTCTAGAGCTAGGCTTTGCAAAGCCTGACTCTGCTCCCATTACAGTGAGCGCTAAAATCCCACTGATGGCAGTGGGAGCAGAGTTAGGCCGACGCTGAGTGTTTTGCACCCCATCTCTAGGGGGTTTATGGCCCAAAATGACTTGGTTTGTTTTCTCTCCCTGCATCACTCCTTCCCCCTATTTGTCCCCTACTCCAATGAATCCTCTCTCTCTCTCCCCCCCCCCCCCCCATCCCAGTTCCATTCCTTCCTGAATGGCGTTCCAAACTTCCTCACATTTTCCTCCCCACCTTCCCCGAAGGAGTGCTCTGTCTCCCCTACCCTCTTCTAGCTGCTGCATTCCACCTTGGGTGCTCCAAACACTGGCATCTGCCACCCTTAGCCCAGCTTTGCTACCTGGATTTTCTACAAGGCTAGGCGTGTGAATGATGCTGCTCTAAGCTGTGTACACTGAGTCCGGAACTGATGCACCAGCCAGTAATGGATCCAGGGAATAATTTACTGCTCTGGTATTGTAATGTATTTATTGCTCTTGTTTGGCACTTCCCTTACCCTCTTCTGATGATTCTCCATCACAGGGTGACTGTACAGAAGATCCTTACTTTGGCCTGGCAAGATCAGAGAACTGTCCCCATTGAGTCATTGGCCCAGCTGATCTGTTTTCCTTTCCATATTACTGGGATGGGGGAGAGAATCCTGCACTGCTGCCTACCGGAGCCAGTGGAGGTAGCTTCCAAAGCCTCGCCTCTCTCCCCGTTTCTTTTGCCAGGGCACCAGCACGGCGTTCCTGCTGCAGCCAGTACAGCATCTCCACTTTGTCCCACTGCATCTTCTCCAAGTATGGGCGGCCCTTGAAAGTTACAGTGTCATGGAATCTCTCCTTGATCTGATGCAGAATGATGTAGAGGTCCGTGTCGTACTTGGCGATTGCTGCATATAGACGGCCTCTGGTCCTCGACTCCCATGTGCGTGTGGGGAAAGACTCAAGGCTCCTTTCAAAGAAGCGGTTTGGGTCAGAGGCAGCTTGCTCAAACTTCTCCAGCTCTACCAGCAAGAGCTCCCGTTCCTGGATACTCTTTGCAGCTTTCTCCCAGACTTCGAGCACAGCTGGGAGCTGAGTGAAAAATTGGTTGGAGCTGTACTTAATCGCCATATCAAGCCTCTCCCTACCAGGGAAATGAAGAACTGCCCAGAGTCTCTCCAGTCGCTTCTGCAGAAGTCTGAGATCTTCAGGCTTATGGTCCTGGTCCTCAAAAGTCCCAAGCCCACCAAGCATGATGGTGTTTGTGTTCCACATCCCAGGCATGTACTTCTCTCTCTTTGAGCGGACCTCTGCCACTTTCTGTTTTACCTCCCTCTGTGCTTCCTCCAGCTGTTTCTTTTGGGCTTCATCTATGAAAAGTGGCTGCTCCTCCTCATTGTACAAATGAAATATCACATGCAGGTAATCAGACTCCTTGCTGGAGACATATTTCAGGTACTCATCAACGTTAAGGGCGGATTTCCACCACTGATACCAAGTGGTTTTTTGTTGATGGGCAATCATGAGGGGCAAACTTGATTGTACTGGTGTAGTCACTTTCTGGGTGCTGAATGGTCCAGCAGGCAGCAGCTTATTCAATTCTGTATTGATCACCTGCTCATTTTTCCTTTTGGTCAGAATGGAGGACGCCAGGCTGTTGGATAAATCCACGTTCACAGCTGCAGGCTCTATCAAGGGCCCTTGGTCAAATTTCAGATACTCTGTGGGGATGATTTTTATCAGTTCCTTGTAAATTTCCCGGATCTTTTCGCCAGCTGAAAGGTTTGCATCCAGATAACTCACTGTAGCAGCATCAATCTCTCCCAGAAAATCATTATACAAGGGGGGGTATCTCTGAATAGCCACAGAATCAACAAGTACTCTGTCGGACACTTGTAGGTCAGCCGCCTTTGCTACCATGCCATGGTGTATTTGAAGATTCACCGTGGCAGCTTGAGGGTGAGTGGGTGGTGCAAAAACTACCATATCTCTCAGCTGTTGCTCAGCCGTCTCCTCTTCTTGGAGGCATCTAAGTGTCTCCTGAAGCTGCTGGAGTTTGGTTACATTGGCTCTGCGTCGTGTCAGTGCTCCAATGAGGGGAGGCAGCTCTGCGTCCTCACTGTCGTCTCTTCTGCAACCACTTCTGAGGAGGGAGCCTTGAATTAGCTTGCGGAGGTCCTCAGCTATGGCTGTGGACTCTTGGAGATTGCCATCTGTTGCTGACTCAGCGTAGTGACTGGGCATTATCGGTGTGAGGGGGCGAGGGGGAAGATGGATCCCAAGTTCATCTGAGAGGAGTTGCCCGGCTCTCATATTGGGCAATGAATGACTTTTCTTGGAAATGGAGCCAGCCTCATGCCTGACCCACTTTGTGTCTTCCCGATCTTCTGAAGCAGGGGTACAGGAGCAGGGGGTTCTCACTGCTAGACATGGCAGGTTGCTAAAGCAGCTGCCAAAAGTCTCTACATTAGGGATCAAGTGATAGACTCTGCTTAAGTCCAGTGGGGGTATCTCCTCAAGTTCTTTGATATCCTTTGCTATTTTCTGCCTGCATGTCTTGATGTGGGGCCTGGTCAGTTTGATAAAGTGAGTGATGGTGAGGCCGAGGCGGCAGCCCACAGTGCTTCTGGCTGAGTGCCGGCCTCTCTGCGGTGGCCATTTTCGCCCTGGCCGAGCTGTCTTGCTGTCAAGAAAGAAGTGGTTCTGTGGGGTCTTCAGCTCTGCAATGAGATGGTGCTGGACGGCAGCCATGTTGAGGAGACTGGAGCAGTCCAGAGAGAGCTGGGCTGCGAAGCGGGTGAGGTTAGCATAGTCAGTGAAGACAGCCATGTCCCGGTGGAGCTCCATCAGGCAGAGATAGTGGAAGAAGAGGTGTTCAGAGACAAGTGTGATGTATGACACCAGATGCTGGTATAGGTCCTTGTTCTGCCAGCTGCTGAGGGCTGGGTTGGAGAGTGAGTGACTGGCATCCTCCCAGGCGAATTTTACTTCTGCCAGGATGATCTCCTTGAAGACCTGTCCTGCCTGGCTGGAAATGGGCAACGAATCACTACCCAAAGAAAGGCGCCCTTCGATCAACTGGGTCAGAGCAGCTAGGGAAATGGGGATAGAGAATGCAGGCACTGGAGTCTTTGGGGAGCCAGATGGTAGCGTGTGGCTGGTCTCCGGGGTGCCAGGAGGCTCGGCAGAACTAGTCTCCTGTGTACCATGGAGCTGGTGGCTGGGTGCGGCCGGGGCTAGGGTGGGCTGTGAGGCTCCTGGGGGCCCCTTTGAAGGAGGCTGGAAGAGGGAGAGCGGGGCCAGGATGCCCTGGTAGACTTGGTGCAGCGTCTGGGTCACTTCCTCCGTCTCCTCCAAGGCATAGAGATCCCAGGAGGAGCCAGCGCGGGGCCTGGCGCCATCGAACCCGGGCATGGCGGACCCGCCCGCCCAGGGGCCCACTGAGGACTCTGACCCTCGGCCTCCCAGCAGCCCCTCGTCCCCGGGCGGGGGACCAGGCCCCGGGGCTCACAACAACCCCCAGCCGCTGCGCGCTAACCCCAGGGCTCAGCGCGGCGCCCGCTTGCCGCTTCCCGGCTCAGAGCTGGGAGGGCGTCTCAGCAAGCAGAGTCTCCATGGTAACAGCGCACCGGAAATAGCTCGTGCCTGCACTGCGAGTTGCTTCTGGTGGGGCCCAGCTTCCGCCCATCAGGCTGGCGGCCGGAAGTGTTGCTACAGGCGCGTTTCCTGGAAGCGAGGCCAGTGCGGGCGGACGCAGCCGAGGGATCCAGCGATGGAGGCGACGCCGGGGCCCGGAGAAGCAGGCGGCTCTAGCTGCCGGGTAAGGAGACTCCGCAGCGGGGAAGCTGGGTTGTGCCTCTCGGGGGCAGCGTTCTGTTCCTGGCTCTGCTGCTGATCCTGTTGGGCAAGTCCCCTCCCCTCTTGGTGCCTGTATTTGTTTGCACTGCAAAGCTCTTCCGAGCTTCATCAAAGCTGGGCTGGGATTGTCCTACTGCCAGGAGTCCGGGGCACGCCAGACACCATGAGACTCATGATAAGATCTGTCCTCGGAGTTGTCAACCCTTGTGGGTGGGGGAACATAGCGCCCTGTGTGTGTTTGGGGAGGATAGGGTGAGTCTCGGGAGCCTGGTGGGGGAGGCTCACGTCTGCAGGGCTAAATCCCCTGTGTATGTGCCTGCAGGAGAAAGAAATTGTGTGCCGTGGTGGAGGGAATGAGAGACCGTCTCTTTCTGGAGGACGTATACCTCTTCGGCAAAGTCCCCTGTGTAAGGGGTAGCAAGGAGAGGGATGAATGGGGCAGAACACATTGTGGGTGGGTCGATGAACATGGGGGCAAAGTCACCTTATGTATGAGTATGTGGGACACAAAATGCAGAATCTCCGCATCAGAGGGATTGAGAAAGGGGAAGCTGCTGGAGATTAGCAATCCAATTTGCCCAATATAGGGAGGATTGTACAGCTGTAGGGTATGAGGTGGTTAGTTTAGCTTCCTCTGGATGGGGGGAAATTCTGGAAAGGACAGGAAACCCCTGTCTGCTGGAGTGAACATACTGGGTCAGACCAAAGGTCTGTCTAGCTCGGTATCCTGTCTTCTGACAGTGGCCAATGCCAGGTGCTTCAGAGGGAATGAACAGAACAGGTCATCATCAACTGATCATCCCCTGCCGCCCATTCCTAGCTTCTGGCAAACAAGAGGCTAGGGACACATCCCTGCCCATCCTGGCTAAGAGCCATTGATGGACCTTTCCTCCATGAACTTACATAGTTCTTTTTTGAACCATGTTCAAAAGAGGTGATGCAGTTCTGGGCCAGGGGAGGGGTAGGGCTGATGGATGAAGACCCCCACAGTGGGGAGTTGGGTTGGTTTCCATGACAAACTGTGTCTCACATGTCTCCTAAAATCAACCAGCTGGAGTTCGCCGTGCAGATGAACTGCCAGGAATGCGTGGATGCCGTGCAGGCCTCTCTGCAAGGAGCAACAGGTGAGAGACACTCCAGCCCTCCCATTCCCCATAACAGCTGCTGTGGGCTCCTGCTGTTCTCACAATGCTAGGGCTTTTCCTGCAGGGCTCCGGGTACTGGACATTCGGCTAGACTCTCAGAGTGTGCTGGTGGAGACCAGCATGAGTGCTGGGAAGGTGAAGGGCCTGCTGGAGAGCACAGGCCGCCGGGTTGTGCTGAAGGGCATGGGGAGCACTGCGCCACGTGAGTATGGAGTCCCTGGGTTATAGCCTGAAAGGAACAGGGGGTAGCAGCTAGGAGTCCCAGTTTATTGCTGTGGGTTCTATTCCTGGCTCTGCTGCTGACGTTGGGCAAATCCCTTCCCCGCTTGGCACCTGTGTGTGTTTGTTTATGCTGTGAGCTCTTCAGAGCAGGGACTGTTTCACACCGTGTGTCTATGCTGCACCTGAAAGGGGGAAGAGCATGTGGTGTCTGGTACAGCAGCGGCCCCGATATCAGATAGGTGCCTCTATATGATCTATCTGTGTAAGGTAGTTTTATGACCTTCATCACTGTAGTATTTGGGTGCTTCACAGTCTTTACTGTATCTACCCTCACAGCTTCCCTGGGAGGCAGGGCAGTGCTATTATTGGGAAACTGAGATACAGAAAGGCTAAGGGACTTTCCCAGTGTCACACAGGGAGACTGGGGCAGAGCAAGGACTTGAACCTGGATCTCTCAAACCTAGGCTAGTGCCCTGGGCCATACCATAATACACAGTTCTATTGTGCTGAGTGGCCAATATCTTCCCCTTCCCTAAACAGCCTGTGCTTCATCTTTTCAGCTCTTCCTCAGGGAGTTCTTGGGCACTGGTGCTGCTCTGCTTGCTATGCTGTCTGGCAGCAGGGGCTCCCCTACATCTTGGTTGGGGAGGGGAATGCGGGCAGCTGTGACTGTCTGTGTCCATCTGACTTTGCCCTCCTGCTTAGAGAACCTCGGTGCAGCTGTGGCCATGATGTCAGGCCCCAGCCTGGTCCAAGGGGTGGTGAGATTCCTGCAGGTCTCGCCAGAGAAGTGTCTCATTGAAGGGACTATTGATGGCTTGGAGCCAGGGTTGCATGGGCTGCACGTCCATGAATTTGGGGATGTCACGAACTCCTATGACAGGTAAGAGACCTCTCCCCTGCATGGAGGTGTTGCTGTCCAGTATAGCAGGCTGGGGTTTGCAAAGGTACTTCAGGGAACTGGGTGCCTTCCAGCTTAATGGCATTTAGTGTCAAGATTCTCATTTAACAGATGGGGAAACTGAGGCACTGAGCGACAAAGGGAGGGCCCTTCTTAAGCGTAGGGCCTGTAATAGAACCGAGGGCTCCCAACCCAGTGCCCTCTCCATTAGGCCCTCCATTTTTCAGCAACTGTGAAGAGTGCAGCAGATGGCACTAGTTCAGTGAGATTGGCCTTCTCTTGGGGAGCGTCTGGGGGAGGCATGTAGACAGACACAGCAAGAGGACACGAGCTGTGAGGGAGGGGGTGAGGTCTGTTTCCCTGTTCAGCTCCTTCCCCTTTGGCCAGTGCACATTCCAGCCCTGTGTTGAAATGTAGTGTGGAGCAAGTAGCAGGCTAGATCTCTCTGGAGGCTGTGGTGTGAGGCCTCTGCACTAGGTCACACTGGCTTCCGTTTTTTCCCCAAACAGTTGTGGAGATCATTTCAACCCAAATGGGGAGCGTCACGGGGGCCCGCAGGATGCGCACAGGGTGAGTTCTGGTCATGTTCACCCATTCTGCCCTCACGGTCAGTGCTGGCTCCAGTGCCATTTGGTGGCGCTAGCGGGCGTGGTGCTGCAGGGAGAGGAGTGAGTGACTCGGGGGGGGGGGTGCCATCAATGCTCACCCCCGTGTGATGGAAGGGGTGGCTGTGCTGCATGGAGCTGGGGGCTCGGTAGGGCAGTCTCCTCTGAATCAGTTCTGGGAGTGACTGGGGGAGAGTGAGTGACTTGATAGGGGGTGCTCTTCTTTGGCAGTCAGTGCTGACCCCAGTGTGGTGCTGAGGGGTTAACACAATAGAGGGCAAGCCAGAAAGAAACAAAGTCAGTCACCTGTCTAGAGACAGCAAAGACTTCAAACATTGTAGTTCTCCAAGAAAAGGCACCTTTCCCAGTCCTCAGGCTGCCACATTCCTGCCTCTGCTGCTCTTGGAGACCATTGCTCAGAGGTCCCCATTTGCACGCCCACATTAGTTGGCTCTCACTTTGCCACGTGGGGCCAGACACAGCCTGGCTTTGAAACAAACTAAACTGAAATACTTGTCCAACACAGCCTGATCACAGCCCACAGAGTCGTTATCCACCTCCTTGGGAAATGCCAATTGTTGTTTTCTTTGAAATTTTGAAAAACAAACATTTTCCCCCAAAATCTTTCCATGAAAACGTAAAAAATTTTGGTTTTCAAAAACCGTTTTTGGTTAAATGTCAGGTTTTGGGGTCATTTCTTTGTCAAAATTCCAGAAATTTTCAACCCAGATATTGGTTTTCATTGAAAAGCTGGTTTTTTTTCAGCCACAGAAGAATTTGAGTGAAGAAAATTCGCTCTGCTCTTGCTGTGTTTGTGGTTCAAGTCAAAGTTCTTAGTGTCTGACTATGTGGGTGGATGCTCTGTTCCAGCATCTCGGAGACCTTGGCAACGTGCTGGCTGGCAGTGATGGAAGAGCAGACTTCCGGATGGAGGACAGCCAGCTAAAGGTGAGGTCCCCTGATCTACACAAGGGATCACTGGGGAGACACCAGTGGGAGCTGTGTCAGACTGGGGCATGTTGAGGGATCCTATTGTTCCTTTCAGAAAGGCATCATTACAGTGGATCAGAACAGCAAGCTCATCCAGCTGTTCCACAGCTGCTTCAGGGGAAGGGGCTCTCAACCCTCCATTAGGCTTTGATGGGATAATCTCACCCTGAGGAACATTCCTCCTGACTCCATTTGCTAGGGGTAGACTCCTGCTGTGAAGCAGGAGGGATAACTCCCTTCCTTGGCTCCAGGTTCTCTAATATTATAACTCTGGACACCTTTACCAAGCACTTTTGGTCTTAAGGATATCATAGGAATGAGGCACTGCCTGAGTAGCTCAGACCCCAGGGTCATGTTGCTCAGGATCTCTTCCTCCACAGGGCCCAGCACCAGGTGCTTCCGAGGAAGGTCTGCCTCCAGTACCAGGTGTGGGATATTCTGTCCCCAAGCACTAGGTCTCACCCTGGTCTCTTAATAGTTAAACTAGTCAGAACCCTGAAGCAGTAGGTGTAGTATCCCAGGTGGGAAGGAGGGAGCAAAAAGAGCATGTAGCAGCTTGGGGTTGCCTCTGTTTTCCACTCCTCTAGTCAAAACCTTCATTCGGCTGCTCTCCTGTGAACTGCAGGAGTGGGGAGTCTTGTCTTCCCTCCAAACTCAGCCCCCCTCCAGCTGATGGACCACCCACATGGTGCAGTGGGACAGGGAGCCGAGCTCTGGGGAGGAGGCAGAGGCTGAGATGGCAGCAGGAGAAGGGAAGCTAGGGTGTAGGGGTGGGGCATTGTTCTCTTAGAGCTGATTGCACTTTCCCTGGTTCCAGGGAACAAACCCCTCTCCAAGCTGTGCCTGGATGCACTGGCTCTCATCATGCAGAAGTCCCTTCCCAGGACTGTACTGGCCTCTGTCAGGGAAACTGGGGATCCACACGTGCAACAGGGATGGCCAAAGGCTGTGATCCTTCCTAGGTCTGGGACATCATCGGCCGCTCTCTGGTGGTGGATTCTGGTGAGGACGACCTTGGCCATGGGGGTCACCCACTCTCTGAAGTCTGTGGGAACTCGGGTGAGAGGTGAGGAGCTAGGGGGAAGAAGCAGGGGCCAGGGAAGTAGCTCAAGGCAGCATCTTGCTGGCACAAATACTTGGGGGTCAAGCTGACTGTCAGACCAGTCAACAGTATGGAGGGGTGGGATCAACTGTGAGCATGGGAGGAAGGATGGCTTGGCCTAAGGGAGCTATAGGAAGTTGAGGGGGGTCAGTCTCTCCCCCTTGCCCAAGGGGCATGACACAAGAGTGGTCAAAGAAGGGGTTAACTCCTCTTTATTGTCTTGGTACAGCTTGCCTCTTGCACTGTAAGGAGTAAGATGTGTCTGGCCTTGCCTGACTTCTGACTGGGCAAATGGCCAGGCCATGGGGCTGCCCATTCAGTCTGCAATGGCTGGAGCCCCTGGCAGCACAGCATTGGCTAATCCTCCTTCCCTCCCTTCCAGGCTGGCCTGTGGGATCATTGCCCGATCTGCTGGGCTGTTCGAGAACCCCAAGCAAATCTGCACCTGCGATGGCGTGACGCTGTGGGAGGAGCGGGAGAAGCCAGTGGCAGGGCCAGGCAGGAGGGTGCTTGGCCAGCCTGCCCCTCACCTGTAGGATTACAGCCTTCCTTTCTCCACGTTGTGCCTACTGGTTGTTGCTCTATGCCAGGGCTCAGTGTGGTTCTAGCATCAAATGGGTGGCGCTTTGGGCCTGCAGTATGGGAGCTCTGACGTGACCTTTAGGTGGGGACTGGACTTCTCCACAGCATCTCCCTCTCATAGCACAGTCTTGTTCTTCTATTGTCAACCTCTGAGCAGCTTTGTGTCCTGACCCTTCCCCAGCTGGGTGCTGCTAAACTCGCTGCAGATGATGTCTCATTTTATAGGGGAGCTGTAAATAGGCTTTGAAGTTTTTTGCTGCTTTGGGATTTGTAAAGGCAGTGAAAAAAGCATCTTAATTTTTTCCCCCTTGCTTATTTGTTCCTTTTTAAACAGCAGGGATATCAAGGGTGGTTTGGTGCAGGAACTAGAAATGGGGAGGCAGGGAGCTTGGGAGTTCTCATGATCACTTTTGCACTAAGTAAATTGGTTGGGGGTTGAATCTTGAATAATAAAATATTAATAATTAGTTTATATCTAGCACTCTGAACCAGCATACCACCAAGCACTTTACAAAGGAGTTTGGTATCATCTGCATTTTACATATGAGGAAACTGAGGCGGGGGGGAAGTGATTTGCCCAAGGTCACCTAGCAGGCCAGTGGCAGAGCTGGGTTTAGAACTGAGGTTTCCCAAACCAGTGCTCTTTCTACTAAGCCACGTAAACAGATAGGACATTGTCCATAGAAAGAAAAGGAGTACTTGTGGCACCTTAGAGACTAACCAATTTATTTGAGCATAAGCTTTCATGAGCTACAGCTCACTTCATCAGATGCATGCTATAGCTCATGAAAGCTTATGCTCAAATAAATTGGTTAGTCTCTAAGGTGCCACAAGTACTCCTTTTCTTTTGCGAATATGGACTAACACGGCTGCTACTCTGAAAATTGTCCATAGAGATCATTAGTGACTGGAGTTACATGAGTATCTACAGGAAACCTGCAAAGGTTTCTTTGAGCTCAGGATCAAAGTCCTGTGCTGCTCTGCCCAGACTGTTTTGGGAAATCTGTCAGTGCCCTGGATTGCATGCATTGCAGAAGAAAAGGTACTGAGCTACCTAGACCTGACAAATGTTTCTAGATGGCTCCAGCCTGAGCATAGGCAGCCACAGAGGAGGGCCTGGGTTAGGTTGCAGCCTATTTTCAATTTAAAATTAATTGTGGAGGCTGAGATGACTTAAAGTAATCTTTCATGTGCACTGAATCTGCCATTAAATATTATTTTCCTAGCTTGCCTTGCTGTCTTGTTGCCCAAGGTGATCAGCTTGAATTGTGGTGGTGCCCAGTCCTTTGTCAGGCACCTACTGTGCAAGATGCTGTATAAATGCAGAGGCACAACCCCTCTGGGACAGGTTCCGCGGGTGGGCGGCAGTTGCCCTGGAAGAGGGGGATTTGGGAATGGGGGATCCCTAAGCCTCCAGCAGGAGAGTGGGAAGGGGTTGGGGATGGAGTAGGAGCAGTTCCCATGGCAGAAAAACAACATGATGCGGTCACTGGGTGTGGGCAGAGCTTGCCTATGACGGTGCCGTTGCCTGAGGGCGCACTCTCCACATGGGTGGCGGTTGCCCCATTTTGTTTACTGGTTAGTTAACACAACCTTGGGCGTGGCGCATGCGCCCGGAAACCCGAATAGGTGCATTCGTCACTACGCAAGCGCCGGGCTGCTCTGGAAGGGAGACGCCGGAAATACGGAGGCGCGCTAGGGCCGGTCTCGCGGATTGTGACGGATGCAAAACAAAGGTTACAGGCGGTTGGGGCTCAAGTGCGCAGGCGCAACGACGTTGCTAGGAGAAGAGCGGAGGCGCGGATAGAGAAGCAGGAGTGCGCAAGACAACAGTAGTACGCAGGCGCGGCATTAGCCAAGCGTCTCTCTTCGCAGGCGCAGTTGCTCGTAGGCGGTGGTAGGCAGCGCGCTGCGCAGGCGTGTCGAGGGGCGGGTGGTTCCTTCCTCTTTCCTTCCTATCTCAGCGTTCGGAGGGTGTGAGGTGCTGCCGCCATTTTGTCAGGAGTCCCGGTGCCAGCTCGGCCGCGGCCATGCGTCCTGGAGTGAAGCTGTTCGTGGGGAACGTGCCCGAGGAGGCCACGGCGGAGGAGCTGGGCGAACTGTTCACGGGCGCGGTAGGCCCGGTGCTCGGCGTGGCCCTCATGAAGCAGTTCGCCTTCGTGCACCTGCGGGATGAGGCGGCCGCTGTCCGCGCCATCGCCCAGCTCAACGGGCACCAGCTGCACGGCCGCCGCATCGTGGTAGAGCCGTCCCGCCCGCGGCCCACCAACACTTGCAAGATCTTCGTGGGTAACGTTTCGGCGGCCTGCACCAGTGGAGAGCTGCGTGCGCTCTTCCAGCAGTACGGGCCCGTGGTGGAGTGCGACGTGGTGAAAGGTACCGACCCCCCCGAGTTCACTAATATCCCCCTTCCCCGGTACCGGCCCGTGATGGAGTGCGACGTGGGGAAAAGTACCGACCCTCGGGTTCCCTAACATCCCCTTTCCCGGTACGGACCCGTGGTGGAGTGCAAGGTGGGGGAAAGTACCGACCCTCGGGCTCCCTAACATCCCCCTTTCCCGGTACGGACCCGTGGTGGAGTGCGACGTGGTGCCCCCAGGATGTCCCTCCCCCCACCGGCCTGTGGTGGAGTGCGACGTGGTATCTTCTCTCCCCTCCCCCCCATATACTGGCCTGTGGTGGAGTTCGAGGTGGGGAAAGGTACCGACTCTCGAGTTCACCAACATCCCCCCTCCCCAGTACCGGCCCGTGGTGGAGTGTGGTGTCATGAAAGTTATCCACCGGCTGGGACAGGGGCACCTTCCCCCATACCAGTTCATGGTGGAGTGTAACGTGGTCAAAGGGACCGAGTCCTAGGTTCCCTGCCCATAGTGGAGTGCGACATGGAGCCCTCTCACCCTTGGTACCGGCAGGTAGTGGAGTGTGATCTGGTCAGAGACTGACCTCTGAGATATTGCTCTCCCTGGACAGGGACTTTACACCTCCACTACCAGCCCATTGAGGAGTGCGACATGGTGAAAGATACCAATCTCTGGGTTCTCTGGTCCACCCCTGGTACCAGCCTGTGGTGGAGTATAATGTAGCCAAAGGTAGTGGCCCCCAGGATCCTCAAGCCCCACAGCCCTGGTACTAGCCTGAGGTGGAGTGCAAGGTGGTCAAAGGAACCAACCCCTGGGATCTCCCCCTTCCCCTAGGATAGGGACTCTCTACTCATAGTACTGGCCCATGATGGAGTGTGATATGGTGAAAGATACCGACTTCTAGGTTCCGTGAGCACCTGGTACCAACCTGTGGTGAAAGGTTTCCTCTGCTGCTTAGTACCAAACCCTGGTACTAACCCACAGTGGAGTGCAATGTGGTGAAAGGTATAAACCCCTGGGCTCATTTCTCTCCTCCCCCACAGACCCATGGTGGAGTATGATGTGGTCAGAGGTTCCCCAGCTCTCCCCACCCTCAGTACAGGCCTGAGATGGAATGTGATGTGGGAAAAGATATCAACTCTCTTCTCCCCCATGGGGTAGGAATCCCTTCAACCAACCTCTCCCTGGGAATGGAATCTCCTCCCCCAGCAATATGGACCCATGAGTCATGATTAAGGCTACAGTTTTGAATCATGGGTATTTTTAGTAAAAGTCATGGACAGAAACAAAAAATCGTGGCCTGTCCATGACTTATACCATTAATACCCCTGATTGAATCTTAGGTGTAGGGGAAAGCCCGTGGCACCAGCTGCAGGGGGGGCACTGCTGGGGATGGGGGGAGCCCTGGAGGGCCAGCGGCTGCTCCAGCTGCCCTGGCACTGATGCTAGGAGCTGCTGATCTGCAGCAGCTCCTGCTGCCCTGGGACAGCTGCTCTGGTGAGGCTGGCTGTGGGGCCGCTCCAGCAGCCATGGGTATGGTTGTCTCCAGGGTCATCTGAGCAGCTGGCCCCGGAGACAGCCACACTGTCTGCTGCAGAGGTCACAGGAAGTCACGGAATCTGTAACTTCTGCAACCTCAGTGTGTGACAAACATGGAGCCCTAATCATGATGGAGTGTGTGATGGGATCCTCGGGGTGCAGCCTGGGACTGTGGGATCGCTGTGCCCCCTGAACTGTCAAGCCTGGGCTGTCTCTCACAATACCAGGTGCTGTCATCACTCGGCACAACTGCACGTGGAGCTCCACACCCAGCTAGATTGCATGAATGCTCCCAGAGCCACTCATGAATCACAGAGGGAAAGGCACCAGCCCAATCCCCCCAGCCTTGCATCTCAGGCACTGTTCAAGATGAGCAATACAGATTTATTAATTGGTTCACCACTTCATCAACAGAAAGTGGATATACACCAGCCTTTGCAAAACTTGAGCAAAACTCACTGGTAAAGATAAACAGTAAAACACATTTACTGACTACAAAAGATAGATTTTAAGTGACTATGAATGTTAGGCAAAAAGTCAGTTAGTTACTAAAAGTAAATAAAATATAAGCATGCAGTCTAAACTCTCAACCCTATTAGACTGGGCAACATCTAGATTAAGTGTTTTTTTCCAATGCATTGGATATTGTAGTTCATAGTACACAGATTTCACACCTGAAATCTGGGCCAGTCCCCTCAGTTGGAGTCTTCAGTGTCCTTGTTGCTTGCAGTGTAGGTGGGTGAAGGAGAAAGGCCCAGTATGTGGCCACTGTGTTCTGTTTTATTCCCTCAGTCCCATGTGCTTGGGGATCACCAGTCCAGGCATATCTGGGGGCATTGCTCAGTCTCCAGCTAAGATTGAGCAATTCCCCTGGTATGGCTTCATGTAGGTTAGTCTTTGAATTGTAGCTCCCTTGCTGGACAATGGTGGTTGATGGGTTGTTTGGTTACTTTCCTTGCTGTTGCCTCTGGGGAGCTAATATCTGACAAATTCCCCAACTTACAGAATGTTTTAGTGACAACCATACAACACAATTCTCATAACTTCATATGTGTTAATGATATACATATATGGATAGAGAAATGACTTGCAGTAGATGATGATAACTTTTCCACAGATACCTTACAAGGCATGCTTTATATGTAAGATCCTGATTATATAAAAATCAGGAATATGGGAGTTAACAGGACGCTCCCCCAAGCTTATAGAATGTAACAGTCGAAGATACCAATCCTCTCAGTGGAGCAGGGCCCATGCCACAAGACTAAGTCCAATATCTTCCTTCACCCAAGCAATTCCAGCCTGTGGTGGAGTGCCACATGGTTAAAGATATTGACCACTTGCTTATGGGCAGACACGCCCTCCCTACATCTTTCTTTCTTTCCAGCAATGTGGGCCTGTAGTGGAGTGCCATGTAGTCCAAGGTACCAACATCCTCATGAGGTGGAGACCCCCACCAATATCAATCCAGCAGTATGCATCTGGTGAAGTGAGATGTTACCATAGGTACTGATTGCCTCACATTTATGGGGGGGCATATACTACCCCCAACTCCTCCCTGCACCAGTGGGGGACTGTGGGGCCTCTTTAGCAAAGCAAGCCGACATCAGAGCATGTAACATCAAAAGAGTACCAGTCTTCCCGTGGAGCAGATATTGCACCCAATCTCTGACCTGTACTAGTGGGGAGTGGCAGAGGCTTTTTCAGCAACTGAGGTATAGAAATTGCCAAAACTACTAATCCTATCTGGGGGCAGAGACCCCTTCTAATCCCTCATGGAGCAAATAATGCCCCCAAAATTCCCTGTCTTTGCACCAGCAGGGATTTACTGGAGTTCTTTTGGAAGTATGAGTCCATGTGACCTAAAAGGTGCTGACCGCATTAATCCTTACTCCACATGGGGCAGATACTCCCCATAACCTCCTGCCCCCCCCCCCCCCCCCCCCCCCCCCAGACACACACCAGTGGAGAGATGAAGGGGTTGTTCCAGGTACCGTGGCAGAGCGCAACATCAACAAAAGTACTGACTGCTCCCACTTTCACGGAGCATTTACTTTCTTCCACCAGCAAGTGGGTAACATCCACTTTAAACTTCACTGGGGCAGATACTGCCTTAATCCATACTCTTCTGCCCCAGCAAGATGTGTGAGGCCTCTTCCAGCAGTATGGATGCATGGAAGAGTACATTGACAAAACTACTCACCATCCCACCTCACCTCTTCAAGGAGAATGTCCCCCCTCAATTGAGCCCCTATACCTGCTGGACCTGTGAGGTCTCTTCAGTTGGTACAGGCGTGTGATGAAGTGTGATATCAAAGGTGCCAACAGCATCTAACATCCTCCCCCCCCCCAGTCCTTCACTGTGACAGTGTGGTCTTTGTGGGTGTGTGGAGGTGCCCTTCCAAGGGGAGGAGAATGCAAAAATAGGTTGGGAGAAGGGCACAACCATTGCAGCAGCCAGAAGGTTGAGGGGAAGAGTAAAGGAGCAGAGACCTCACCCAACCTGATCACAGCCAGGAGAATCAGAGGGAGATATGGATAGAGGAAGGATAGCAACCAAAGGAGGAAATCTGGGGTTACATTTTGAATGATGGGGCCATCAGGCAGAGTTTAAGGGACAGTTGAAAGAACCCCAGCAGCTTGGGGGGGGTGGGGAAGAGTGGGTTATTTTTTCACTGGGTATTGCCAGTGAACAGTGGAATCCCCTTCCTTTTATATCAGTCTGACCAATATGTTTAATCCTCTAGCTCTTGGGAGTCTGGTAACATTTTCAAATGAACATGGGAGTGGGTAGGCAGGAGATTAATGGTGTAAATTGGACAAGACAAATACAGTCTGAGGATTTAGGTTGCAGGGCAAGAAAGAAGGTCTAATGAAGCAGGAGAGATGAGTGAACAGTATTCATAATTATTATTCCAGCTTCACTGGAATTTGGCAGACTTTATAGTCGTTATAGTCAGCTGTTTGACTACTGTCTGATGAATGCTGCTGAAATTCATTGAACAATATATCTGAAATTATCTGCTACTCCATCAGCTCCAGTAACACAATTATTACATAAAATGATGATTTAAGTTCTGGAGCTAAACATAACACAAACAATTACTGTTGCTTTATATTGAAATATTATGGTAGCACAGGCATTTCTCTCTAGCTATTAGGCTTAGATGTAGGGTTAGTACCTGTCAGGTACATTTCTCTAAGCCTTAGATAATGTCCTCAAAGGTGGATATATTCTCAAAGCGCACCCTGCACCATCAGGCAGTTCATGAGCCTATTGTCAAATGCATCATTTCAAAATTGCCAACACCTCTCTACTTGTCCTGGAATACCAGTGATGTAGGCCAGTGACTGAGTGAAGTACTTTTGAGCCAACCACCCTACTTCTTCCCTGCATAAAAATTCCCTTTATATCCTGCGCCATTTTCTAGTGTCCCGGAGCCGCCGTCATGTGTGACACTTATATGGGACCGTTTA